GAGAGAGATGCGCTTGCAGACAAGCGCAAGGGGGGGGGGGGTGGAAGGTGCGAAAGGGCTAATTTTGGGTGTTGTTGCTAGTGTGTTTCGTGGGTGAAGGATTAGAGTTTGTAGGATTGCGGGATTCGGATTGGATGTTGGATGGGAAGGGGGGGGGGGATCCGTGATGGATTGGGGATAGGTGGGTTGAGATTGGGTCATGTGATTTACCGGGTTGCTGAGAGGTGGTGTCTATGGAACGTTGGACTAAGTACAGTGTACACTACTAGATGGCATTGGCTTTTCGGTGTACGCGAGAGGGGGAGATGCAGGTGAGATGGCTGTATGTGTATGCAATGCTGCTGCTGCTGCTGCGTCGTAGGAGGAGGTCCAGGCCTCAACCAAGGTACGCGTGGCCAGATCTCGCTCGGCGTCATGGTTGCGAAGGTGCGAAAAAGCAAGTTCAGCGATGTTTTACGAAGAGAGTAAAGATGTTCGAGATGATCAACAAACTCGTCTTCCCCTGACCCGAATTTCGCACCACGCAAAGGTTGATGACACCTTTTTGTCGCCTATATGCGGTTGCTTTAACGTATACGCCTGATAAACTTCACATATTTAGGCATCAAAACCTTCACTCCTTCACTCTTCTCTTTTTGCTCAGCATAGATGACGGCAACCGAGAACGGTTTTGCGAAAGTTAAAAAGTGAGGCGGAAGCAACGAGGGAAAATTCGTAGTCACGTGATCATGTGTAGTTACGTCAGTACTTTTATCTGGCCTGCAAGATAAGTTCACATGAAAGTACGGTGAGACCTTGTAGCCCCCTGCAGCTTCATTCAATTTTTTCTAAAATCGCGCGCGTATTCTTGCTTACATTGCGAGGAGGAAGACGCGAGTATATCTCGGGGTGGTTATCTTATTACGTTGATGAGTGTATGTGCCAAAAAAACAGTCTGTACTCAAAAAGGAAGCAAAGTGCGCAAAGTGAATATGTCCGATAAGACGAAACCGATGCAGGAACCAATTTACAAGGAAAGAGATGCACATATCTAGGATTAACGAGGGAAAAAACATGTTTTTAAGGAAGAAACAGCAAGGAAAAGGATTTAAAATTTATAAGTTAGTGGGTTTGAAAGATGGTAAGGAAAACGCCTGTGAAATGCATGTAGACAAAAGTTTTGCCTCCGGCTACTATAGCCCATTGAAGCGATGCAAAAAAAGAAATAGCGAGAGAACAAAAAGACAATTCAAGCGATACACAAGGAGCCAAACTACAAAAAAAGAACCGTCCAATTAGCCAAACACCTTCTATTACCGAATGGGCCACCGTCTTCCAAGTTTTTTTGTTTTAATTACTGCAAAAAATTGTTAGTTATCCATCTTCATACACTAACCGGGGAAGGTAACTTACTAAATCTCCAACGGCGCAATCTGGTCGACATTATACAACCACCCTCCGCCCTTCTCCTCGCTCTCCAACCAATCATACGGCCAGAGCACTATATGACCCTGCACCAACTCAAGCACCCTCTTTGCATCCTCCTTATCCAACATCATGTCTGCGTCAGCAGCGTGGAATGTCTTATTGGAGCTCCTAGTTGTAGCACGGCGGCGCGAACGCTTGGTGTTGGAGCGGTTGGGAACATTGGAGTTTTGAGAGGGGTGGAAGGTAGGCTCGTTGATAGTGACTTGACGACCCCGTTCGCGCATCGAGTGCGATGTCTGGGGTGGGTTATGCGTAGCAAAGTCGTACGAGCTATCGGGAATAGGCGGTGGAGCAGGGAAGGTGAACGTCTTTTCTGGTGGCGCGGGGTTCATTGGAGACACAATGGCGTCGTCAGCAGGCTCTGGCGCCAGCTTCTCGTTCAACGTAGATCCAGAAGCTGTGTCAATATGAATCCCGCGGTTTGTCTGAACTGATAGGTTTGGAGCCTGTGCTCCTTTCTCGTGGCCAGCAGCCCATTGCTCTACGCTATGCTCAGTAGTCGAAGTTCCGTTGTCGGTCATCTTGCTGTCAGAATTGTTGGTCATCTTCTCAGTGAGCTTCTCGCCCAACGTTCCGACCCTGTTTCCAACCTTGCCAGTGATACCCGTACCAGGCGGTCCGGTAGCAGTAGGGGCGTCCTGCTGCTTATGCGCCTGGCCCTTATCACCGCCTTGTGACTTGGCGAAGCGTTCGCCGAAATTAGTGTATTCCTGGTACTCTTTCCATGTCTTGACTTCGTTGTCGGGCATGCAGCGGAAGACTTGGCGGAACAGCTTGGTATTGTTCTCAGCAATCTGATGCCAGGTATCGAGGAAGAAGGAATCGCTGATAGGATCGCGCATACAGTCTTCAGTAACAATTGGACGTCTCATCTCGGAGAGAATTGGATTAAGAACTGAGGATGAGCCTTGACTCCAAGTGCGTTGCAGGGCAGGTGGGCCACCAATGTCCGTATCATCCAAAATAGGCAATGCAGGCAGCTGGCTGAGCTGCGTAAGACCAAGCTTCTGCGTGTCCATACGTGGAATCTTAGGAGACGGAAGACCAGCGTATCCAGTTCCTTCATTCAGTGCACTGATTGCGCTGTTTCTAGTGCCCGTGGTGCCGCTACGCTTTCGGGTCCTGAGGGTGGCGCTCTTCTTTGGTGTAGCCGCCAGACCTTCGGCTGCGATGTCTGTCACGAGTTTTTCGTGACCATGCTCATCGATATACGAATCCCGACCTTGGGCAATTGTCGGTCGCAAATGTTCTACCTCGAGCATATGATCAGCACCCTCACCCCGCACATCTTTTGCATGTGCTGTGTTGTTCTGGACACGAACATCGGTTGATGGCTTCTTGGTACTCTGCAAGTGCGGATTCTGGTCTTGTGCCCAGTCAAAGTCGTGATTGAAGCTGTGCAGCTTTTCGGCCTTTTCGATAAGCTCATCTTGCATTCTGTAGTTGTTCTCCTCCAGCTTTTGCTCAGTGGTGCGCTGGGCTGTAGGCGAACCGGGCCCGGACGACTCAGTATGGAAACCGACACTATCGGCATCAGACATTTGACTGGCCAGTTCTTCCTCGGAAATGCAGTCCACATCGATACCCAGATGCTCTCGCTGAAGACGCATGCGAAGTGTGTGGGGAAACTTGCCGACCTTGTATGGCTTGCCACCCATATAAGAATCCAGTACTTCAGTGTCGCGAACAATGGCTGCAATCTCAGAGTCTCGTGATCCCAACATGGAGCGCTCATTGATGTTTGCAGATCCAATAATGGCAACCCGGTCATCGACAATCATAATCTTAGCGTGGATGTAGAGCTGCTCTGTGACGAGCATCTTGTTCGGGCCGATCTCACCCCACGATCGCAAGGCGTAGAACTGGATATAGTCTTCGGGCTCAATACCCGCAGCTCTCAGGCGACCGAAGATGGAACCTTCGCCACGGCAGATGCTGTGATACTGGCAGGTCATAATGAGACGGACACTGCTACCTTCCTGTTCGTCAACGGTATTTTGGTATCCAGGCATGAGAGGAAGCATGATACATGCTCTCCAGTCTTCATCATTTGCATGAGCGCGCTTGATACGGTCAACAATGGCATCGTTGATCCTGTTTTCAATCTTTGTACCCAGCACCTCACTGCTACTGATGTAGAACTGGTTTTCAATGTAGACAAAATGCTCCGAGGTGGAGATCATCTGCACGTATGCGTTCATGATGCTGTGCTCGACCTTGTTGGGCGTACCCAGTGACCAAGCACATGCAGAGCGAAGGATCTGCACTTCGCACGTTCCGTCAAGTCCAAGAGCCTCGATGTCAGCTGGGTTGAAATCGGGTGGCGGTAGCAGGAAGGGCGTTGGCCTCGAGGGCTTACGTTGTCGTAGCAGATAGTTCCATCGCTGAACAAAGTGGCGGGTCAAGTCACGAGCTGGCTGACCGACAATCTGCATACCAACATCGTGCCATGGCATTCTAGGGACTTTTGAGCGATCGTACATTTCCTCATATGGTTTGTCGAGCGCGAAGAAATCCTGAACTCGAGGGTTGGAGTAGTCCTTGCCCGGCCATAATTGACAGTGGTCAGCGTCCTTGGGTGTGTCATCAAGCTCAAAGCCTGTGGGCTTGTCATCTACGACAACATGCTGGGGCGTATCCCAACGACCAAAACACAGATCGACTCCTCCGCAAAAGGCAACGGTATGGTCGATGACACAGATTTTCTCGTGGTGAGACCAGAAAAAGGTATTTTGGCGGATCTGATTTGGCGAACGCTGGACAAAGATGTTGGGATGCAGGTCAAGCAGAGAGAACTTGGAATACTCAGAATCGATGGGGATGGCGGCACCGATGTTGCGATACATGATAACGAAGATCTTGACACCTTCCTGCGCTTTCCGCTGCAACAGTCTGTCGAGTCTCCACTTTTGACTGATGGCGGCTGGACGGCGTAGGTAGAGTTCAGGACTCAGCCACCAATCGTGGATATAGATGACATCCCGGGCCATGCTTATGGCACGCGAAACATTCCACATGTAGTCGCGACCATCGACCAGCCACTGTGCATAAATCTTCTTACGTACAGGAGCAAAGCTGTCGAATCGTTGGCGTTGTGACCACACAGTATTTTGCGCCATGAAGCTGATGGACTCTTCAAACTGCTGTAGCATCCTATCGTTTCTGGCTAGTAGTTTCATCTTGCGCTCGGCATTGATAAGCTTCAGCTGATGGTGGCCTGTTGCGGATGCCTTTGCTTCGCTCGCAATATCCCTGGCCTTCTTGTCTCGTATCCTGCCACTCTTGGATTCCAGGTTGAAGTCCGCATCCACGAGAAACACATCGTAGACATTCATCTCTTCAGGAGAGTCTACGCAGACCACGTAGCTGTGTCTGACTAGAAACCATTTTGGCCAATGGCGGTTGATCATGGAGACCTTGGTCCAGCCCTTCCTGTTGTCGACACCCTTTGAGGATTTGATCATTAGGAAGCCTTCCTTTCCGTGGTAGCCGCCTTCGGCAGCTAGTCGGACACCCAGAGCAGAGAGTTCGAGGAACTTGCACAGCCGATTGCTGTCAGGACGGAAGATGAGATAGGTCATCAGTCCACGCAAGTATTGTTCGAGTTTCTTCCGTTGTCGGTCGTGGTGGTTCTGTTTCGCTTGTGCTGGTTGACCGACAGCTCCTACGAAGCTACCTTGTCGGACTACCAATGCGCCGATGGCGCCCTGTGCTTGACTGCCGCTGACGCTGGATTGTCTACGGCCCAAGAAAGACGATTTGCCTCGCTTCTTGGAAGGTCGCTCAGTAGCACTGGCATCACCGTCAGGCCCACTGGCGGCACCTCCTATGGCATTATCTTCCTCTTCTTCTTCGCCCTCGTCATCGAGAATACCGTAACCTCGGAGGCCTCGGAGATAAGGCAATACACTCCTGGGGAAACGAGGAAGTTTTGTTCTAGGATCTTCTTTCTCTTCCTCCTCTTCCTCGCCATCTTTGGTCGCCTTGTCCTTGATCTCACGGGTGCGGTTTGCAGGCCGATTTCGGAAAGCGTCCTGCTTCTCTTGGACCTTGAACTTAAGATGCAAATTGGCAAAGTCGGCAACACTCCTGTAAACGACCCACTTCATACGGGTCAGACCACTGCCATATTCGAGCTCAATGCGCAAAGCAGTGTGGCGGTCGCCTTCCTTCTTTCCAGGGCGATCCGTGTCGGTAATAGTGACCTTGAGCTGTTCAAGGAGAACGGGGATGCGCTTGTGACCATGCTCGTCACGCTGGAACATACTGGCCAGGAAGAGGGCGGCCGGGGCACCAGCAAGCAGCTCGGCCATGAGCTCGGCCGACTTTGCATGGTCAATCTGGCGCTCTACCTTTTGTCTGTTGCCCAAAAGCTTCAGACTGTTCTTGATTGACTTCCATTTCTGAGCGCTCAGACTCGAGGTACGTTCACTGCGCATCCTCCACGGCGAAGGTTGTGTGTCGCCATGAGCACCGCGGAAGTTTGTCAGACTTCGCAGGTGTGTCGGTCGGTTATGGTGACCCTCTTCCTCATTGTTGGGATCGTGTTTCCGCAGGCCGCCGTATGAAAGCCCTCTAGCACTGTGTAGCCCGCGTGACCAAGCACTCTCCTTTGCTATGCGTGATCGGCCCTCATCCTCAGAATAGCCCTGACGCTCATTCTCGGGTATGTCGTCCATTGTAGATCGGCGCAGGAAGCCCGGGCGGGTAGAGGTAGGCGTCATAGTGGGCGAGTCTCGGGAGAAAAAGAAGCCACCGCTACCACTCATTTGCTTTGGTGTTGTAGGAGCGGTTTGTGCACCTTCAGCTTCGCCATCAAACCAACGCCGGCTGCTCTTTCTGCGCCTCTGTCTCGGTCTTCTCGAGGCACCCTCGCCAGCACTGGATTCGCCATCGGCATCGGCCTCACTGTCATGTCCCTCGAACCGCGGTTCGTCGAGTTCGGATGTGGGTGACAGCGGGCCATGGGGCGAGCCGTCATGGCCGCCAGACGAGCCAGCTCCCAAACCACTCGAGCTTCGGCCATGTCCCTGAATTGGCGATGCCAGTGCCCTCAGCTTGCCCATCAACGAAGAGGCCTGTGTACTCCGCTCCCTGGCCCTGACATCACCGTCGTCAACCTCCCATGACTGTTGGCGCGAATTGGCTTGTGATGGGTCAGGCCCAAGTTGTGCGGAGCGTGCAAATTGGACGCTCTTTCGTTCTCGGGGTGCGTCGGAGAGCTCGCCCTCGGTAGGATGTCGTGACATGGGCGCAAAGGGCGGGTAGTAGGAGCTGTTGGATGCATTCGACATGTGTGATGAGGGCTTGGGGGCTCGAAGGGGAGGTTCGGCGTATTCGGGGGCAACACTGCTGCCATTTGCATTGGCTGGCGCATTGAAGGGAAACTCTGAGGGTTCTCTGGGTGTTAGGGGCGAGCCGGTAGGTGCGGAGCGCATTATTCTGGGTGCAGTATCTGATGGCGAGGGATTGTGGAGGTTTTGTGTTTCGTTCCTGGGATGTTGCATTCCAGGCGGTGACAGCATTCGACTCGTCTCCTCTGTAGTCCTTGGGCCAGACGGCGACGTCGACCGCGGGCTCCGGGCCATGGGCGAGGCGTCCGAGATGTGTGAGCCAGGCATGGTGGTGACACGGGGAGGGAGAGGTCGCGTGAGGCGAGGGGTTTGGGGATGGCTACTCGACGGGTAGAGCGTTAAACATGCATTTTAGATCGAAACGTGTTGGCTTTCACTTGATGACGCTGGCGTGGTGACGATGCTACTGCTATCAAGGAAACAAGGCAAGCCGCCCTCTGACCAACGACCGTGTGATGATGTATGGATTGGTGATCAGCTGCAGCCGAGAGAAGAGTACACGCGGCGCAGAGGAGATCAGTATCAGTTCACCAGGCCCTTGCACGGTGGAGTAACTTTGGAATTAATCTCCCTGCTGCTTTCCGGGTGAACGGTCGCGCTAGTGCCAGCGACCGTGGTGTCAGGGGAGGGGGGTCCTGGACCGTGCCGCCTTCCTGACCGCCCGCATCACGTGACTTATGCGCATCCTCAGCCTCCGCCTGTGAAAGTACTGTATGCATATGCCGCATACATTGGCATACGAATGCCCTGTAACAGTCTCGTTCTCGCCGTCGTTGCACATATAGCACGGCACTATCGTGGGGCGCAGTCACGCTGCCAATAGCCCGCCAACCATGTCGTCTTGTCTTATTTGGTGATGCCTCGGCCTTGGAAGGATTGTTCTTCCGTAGTATGCGTATTCCCCATCCGTACCTGCATCATGGCTAAACATGGCTTTCCTATTGCTTCACCTACATCTTTTATCTTGATAACCACCTACGCACCTATTACTATTCCTGTCATTCTTAATCCCCCATAAATCCCATAAATCCCATGGCTGCAACCACAAACCCCCTCCATGCGACCCCGCGCTCTACCCAGCGCCCCGTTTCCTCTCATACCTTTACCATCGCCGGCATCCTTGTCGACGTCCATGGTCTCGATGAAATACCTGCCTCTGCCTCTTCGACCGCTTGCCTATGGCTCCTCAATCCGCGCTTGCAGACGAAAGAAACCATGGAGCCAATTGCCAACCGCGTCATCACAGAATGGAACAAGCGCATACAAGAGGGCCGCGCAGGCAAGAACCCCAAAGGCCTCATAGCCGCTGCATTCGACCAGCGCAACCATGGCTCCCGAAAAGTTGACGAGCTGCACAACCAAGCTTGGAGAGAGGGAAATGAGCGACATGCCCAAGACATGTTTGGCTGCTACCACGGCACCGCTACCGACACCTCACAGCTCATCAACCACCTCGAGTCCTACATATTCACAGCCCCGGACACCCCAAAGATCACACACCACTATGCCCTCGGAATCTCACTTGGTGGCCACGCAACCTGGCACTGTCTGCTAGGCGACCCGCGCATCACTGCCGGTGTCGTAGGCATAGGCTGTCCAGACTACACCCGTCTCATGACCGACCGCGCACGTCTGTCCAAGCGAGAGTCATACACAAGTACCACACCGCCCGGAGCTGCCTTCTTTGGATCACCTGATTTTCCACAGGCCCTACAGGACGCCATTGCCCAGTACGATCCAGCGGGTCTAATGCTCCCGGGCATGTTCAACCCCATAGGCGATGACAGGCAACCAGACCAGGCACAGTTGGATCGTATGAAGACTATTATGAGAGAGCGACTACAGGGAAAGCGCATACTAAACCTTAGTGGCAAGATTGACAAGCTGGTCCCGTACGCAGCGGGTGAACCTTTTCTGAGCCACTTCAAGCGCATCATTGCAGAAGATTCTGGTCTCGATATCTCATTTGAGGATGTCCTGTTTGATGGCGTCGGCCATGCATTTCCACAAGCCATGGCTGATAAAGCTGCAGACTGGCTCTGCGATACCCTAGCAAAAGACGATGCTAGCCCCGTGTCGAGTAAGATATAGAGCTTGAGTCCAATGAAATCAATGATCAATCGCGTCTTCACTCCAACACCTGCACAAGTCACAAAAATATCACAAGTTCAATATATCAGATGCACAGGACGTTGAATTGCTTTTTTTTCCATTTTCTGACATCACTACCGTAACGCCCCCCCACCATTACAAGCCCAATCCGGTAAACATCCCCCTTCCCATGATCAAAGTCCGCAATCCCTATAACTCCAATTCCCATATGCCATTGTCCCTAAAACCGAAATCCCCTAACGCCAATTCCCATGACCCTTTGTCCCCATGACTATCTCTCAAGCCCCAGACTCGAGGAAATCTAACCCTCATCCATATACTCCTGTATCCCCTAACTTGACTCTCTAACCCTGCTATTTCTCATTCGCATCCTTGGACGCATCACCACCCTCGTCAGCAGAAGGTCCCTTCTGATAACGACGCAAAGACGCGAAAAGACGTGGAGCATACTCAGGCTTCACACCCGCCGGCATAAACGGAGACTCGGGACTGGAATCAGGCTTGTCCTCTGTCGAGAGAGGAGTCCAGCGTATACGAGGTTTCCGAGTCGGCGAGCTGGAGGCAGTCGCTTTGGGACGACTATCGTCGTTGTCGGTCTTGACGCGCTTGTTGCGGTACTCGGGGGTGGCTTTCTCGGTAGCGGCTTTGATGGCTTTTGTTCGAACGTTAACTTTGTCCTTTGGGAGCGTTTTGGGGAAGAGGGCAATGGGGGGGAGAGGGGCAGTGGTGCGATGCGCGGCGGCGGCACCGGCGATGGCGGCTTTGGATCGAAGATCGACTTTGTACTTTTGGATCTTTTTGGGGGCAAAGGGGATAGTGGCGGGGATGGGACGAGGAGGGGTGGTGGGGGGAGGGTTACCTTGCTCGCGGATCTTCATGTTGTTGAAGTGTTCCTGGAGCTGGTTAGGGTCGTCTTGGGTGGGATCGGAAGAGGTTGATGAGGGATCAAATACCACTGTGTTGTATAGCATCTCCACCAGGACTTCATCGCCTGGGACCTTTTTCTCGCGGATGGTCTCGAGGGCCGGAGAATAGCGGAAGGTTTGGAGGTATTCGAGGGTTCGAGGGGGTTGGGCATTTTGAGTGGTCTCAACTGGATCCTCGCAGGGGCTCTGGTACGGTGGAGTAGTTGGACGGATTGGAGTGCTCGAGTGTGACTGGGTGTCCAAGTAGGACTCCAAACGGTGGACAGGGTTGGCAGGTTCGTAGACCGGTGTAGGCTCGAGAATCCCTGGAGGTGGTACTGGTGTCGTTGTCGTCTGAGCTGAGAGGTGGTCCAACTCTTGTGCTGGGTCAGTGGGAGCGTCTTCGTACGGGAGAAATGAATCTTCGCCATACTCTGAACATTCTTCTACAACAGTTGCGGGGTTGGGAGTGAGGTTAGCCTCGGGGGGTGACGCCTCACCTTTGTTGTGTACATCCTCCTCGTCGCTCCCTAGCCAATTGAACGCTTCAATCTCCCTCAACCCGTCTTCCCAGGTGGGTGTATCAGAATCATCAGTGGAATAGCTCGGCGGGAACAGTGCGTTTGCGATACGGGAATAGTACTGGATACTACGAGCAGACGGAACCCACTCCCGATTCTGCTCGCCACTCTGCTGTTGCTGGATACGTTCGGCCATGGTGTCGATGTTAAACACGAAGCGTTGGAAAGAAAGTGGTTGAGTGGTGTCGGAAGGCAGCTGACGACTCATGTTTAAGTACTGTGGGGGAAACTATCGAGAGTGAAGAGTGAAGAGCTAAATCTATGAAATGAATTTCCAAATATACTGTTTGCAAACGGTCTCCTGGTGAGTATGTGAGGCCACAGTGCGGGTGTTAACACACTGAGGTGCAGATATCCACGGTGACTGCAATACTTTTTCTCATTTCACCGGTCACTGTATCTCCACTTTGTCAGTCTAGATTGATATGACAGGACATACTGCTGCATAGTAAAAGTGACCAGGCGAAGTCATGTACTCTTACAATGCTTGGAGTTGGCCTACAACAATTCGAATGACATGGTGATATTGTCACTTCTCCTGTAGACGACGTGGGAACATTGTTGGCTCAGTGACCTACTCGAATGCAAACAGCGCCACTTTCCAATGGGGGCTTTTTGCCTTTCACTGTTGAGGCCAATGCTGTTAGAACTGAAATTATGTCATGTGACTCAATTCATACATTCATCCTCACCACTCACAAGCGTACTCCTCATCGTAGGAGAAAACGTGACCCTTCCCATGCACAGGGTCTATCGAGTGATTTCTTTATTTTCAGTGGGGACGTCACGTTCCGGGACTTGGTGGTTGCAATCTTATAGTAGAGTGAGAAATGAGTATTATTTGGCTGATGGGTATCATAGAAAAGCCGCTAGCTCGCCGTCCGTCCGCCAACGCTTATTCAGCCAGAATGGGAGAAAAATAGTAGAAGAGTTGAAAAGCTTCATAATAGGAGTTGGTAAAGAGAAGCAAGTCCGGCCGTAAATTTGAGGCGTCCATGAAGGGTTTTCATATAGGTATGGCGTTGCTGATAGCATTTCCCGTGTCGACAGGCATTGCGAGTACACTGCTGTAGTCAATATCAACTTCTCCAACAGATGTGGAGAATATTACCTCTTGCCTGTATCGGTTGCGCAGCAGCAGCACAGGAGCGATGCTGGCCAACAAACGATCTGAGGAGCATAAGCGAATGGCCATAGCTAGAGAAGATATTGCACTTACTGCCATGCCAACTGTAACAACGAATCCAATAGTGGGCCCGATGATCTTGCAGTGGCACGGATTATCCTTTCTGCGAATAGTTAGTAAATGCACTTTGTGGTAATTAGATGGCATACTTACGTTCCACACTGGATACAAAGTGGGATAGGTACAAAGTCACACATGGTGAGGGTTGGGTGAAGAACGTGATGGGAACAAGACTAGCGACTACTGTACTGAGTATGAGTATGGATATTGGTATGCAGAAAGTTGGAGCAACAGGACAACGCTCAGAATGGGCAGAACAAAGGTAAGGTGATGTTAGGGGAAGGCTGATGCTGCCATGATCAATGCTGCACTAGTGCCCACGTCATCTCTGTTGGGTCGCGATCGCCGGATACACGCGTCAGCCCCATGCCAAGTTCTTGCTTCAGGCTGCTGCATTCACGCACCGCCCTCTTCTCAAGCATTCCTTGAATTAACTATGTAGACGACTGGATGAGCGAGCGCATTGTAGCGAGACACCGCTCGCATACGTCCTGTTTGCGCACGTACCCCCGAACATTTGCCAATGCAGGCTTCCGGCGTTCCTGGATACGACAGAAGCCAACCTTTCCTTCACCGTCGAATCCGGGCAAACGAAGACTACTGCTTACTGCCAGGAAGCGCTATTGTGCATATATCTCGACGGGCCGGTCCATGATCTGTCGTTTATCTGGATGCATTTACGGGCCGGGGGATCTCATGGATTCTCGGAACGCAAACACCAATGAAAGGAACCGCGCAGCATGCTGTTAATCTTCCATTTCTTCTCGTACAAGCTCCAATTCTACCGTTCTCTGACCTTGGCGTATTTTCCCTTCTAGACCATTGTCGTACTTGTCAAAGCATAGCTTCCACAAGTCCGGATCGTCTTCATTTTCCACGGCGATGAAGCCTTCCCAGTTTTCAAAAAGATACCGTTTCTCCCCGTTGGAGCAAATGCGAGCACCCCATGGCCCAACCAGCCCTTCTTCAGCCTCAACGCGCAGTCCATGGCTGAAATGGAAGATGTCGGAGTCGGTGTCTAGATATATCCAATTTAACTGCGGTGGGTTATCTGAAATGGTAGAGACGATGCCATCGAAATTCGAATTCGGGAACGGTAGGTAGTAGCCAGAGAAGGGATGAAGATGCGGTCCTTGATATGTGGACAGCTGAACATACAATCGGCCCTCGGAAAGCACTACATGGCTGTCTTTGAACATTTCTTTGCGGTCCTCTGGCGTTCTTTCGGTTGCTCGGCACCGTATGTGACATTTGTCATGCTTCCATTCCGAGCTGGGGCCATCACTATCCTTTCTTTCGGCCTGCTCTTGTAGCGTCAAGACGGATGACGCCGTCATGGGAATTGTTGCGACAAGTGATATGAGACCAAGGACCATTTTGGAATGCTGTATGTGCAGTGATTGATCATCTATCGAGCCTCGAAGACAAAGAGTTGTAAAGGCAGATATGCAGTCTCAAGTGCCAACACAAAGGCCGGCACCACCGACCCTAAGAGCTGAACCATAACATGGCAAAATCAAGCGTATGCCAACCACAAGCTGTATGACCTGCATGCAGCTATGATGGGAATCATATGCGATTATGATGCAAATTTATATTTCCATGGATAAAGACCAATCACATCGTAGTCCACGGGTAGCTCCCGGCTCCCGCTCCACTTTTCGGCCACGATGATCGACGGGAGCAACAAGAAATGCGGAAGCCAATGACGACCAAAAAGCCACCAAATGCTGATCATAAGAGCGATGCAGGCTGAGATTCTGCTTTGAGCTGCGCTTTAACCATATTGGGAGTCCACACTGTTGACGACAGGGCTAGTCTCGTGCTCTATGTACTTTGTGCATTAGAGCCTCAAAAGTGCTCGAATGGCTAACTACACCGACACCACTCGAGCGCTCTCTCGCGCGAAGATCATGTCGCCGACTACCTGTATCAATTTTACAGCTCCTCGGAGACGATTGAGCGTCAGCTAAGCCTGTGAATTAGCTTCTCTCAAGACATGTTTATGAGCGGATGCACGCCCACGCCAGTCGTCAGACTCTACATCCTCATCTTCCATCCATCTTACCAACGAACCTAAGAAGCAGTGGCGTGGACAGCCCAACTACCGCAGCGCACGAAGCCAAAGCCAGAGTTTCGATTGAAGGCGCCACCTCTCTCCCCAATCCTATCTCTTCCTACACCTCCTCTTTCACCCGCCCCTGCACCACCGTCACCCCCCGTTTTCGACCTCAAAATGGCGGACTCGACTACGAAAGAGTAGTGTACCCCCTGTATTCCTCGCCTTCTTCACATACAAAAATACTGATGCTTTCTTAGTCTTACAGGAACCGCCGGCAACGCAACCGGCGGCCGCGGCCTTCCCGAGGTAGGCGAGTTAATGGGCTCGGTATCCAACCCGGGGAACAAGACTAAAGGCAAGAAAGGAAAGGGGAAAGGGAATGACGATGGAGAAGATGAAGAAGGGTTTGGACTGGATAACAATAAGGATGTCAAGGGGAGCTTGAAGATACATATCAAATTGGATCTGGAAGCTGATATTCGGATTATTGCGAGGGTGAAGGGTGATATTGCGATTGGCATCTTGTAGTAATCCTTGTCAAACAATGTTTTTCGTTTTTTTCTCTTCCTTTTCCGTCTTGTCGAAGGTGATAAGTCGATCTCTCAACCAATGTCATCGCATATACTGGGGCATTTTGCACGTGAATCCTTGGCCAACGCGAACCCTGATTCAAGTCCATCTCTCAGGTCTTACATGCCTGATTCAAGTTACGACTCCCACCTCTTGCATTCATTACGTCGGATGTCTGATATCCCAGATTTTCTCACACTCCAGCTCGGGTCTTGATGTACCGAAAGGACTAAAAATAAGAATATCAGCTACTATCCAGCAAAAGAAATCATGCCGCTTAACGTGTCCGTGCACCTCATGCACGGATTCATCTCGTGCACGCCGAACACCAAACGCGCGTTTCAGCGTCATACCTTCAACGCGCTATAACTCAACAACCATGGCTCCAATTGACGATGCGATTGCAGATTTAGAGTC